TGGAGAAAATCAACCATTCTCCAATCAAATAGACGTTGAGAGCAGAATTTTTCCAACATATATGCCACCCATAATTGGATAGTTAGGACATCTTTATTTCGAATAATAGTATCTATATTTGGAAATATTTCTCTATTCTGAAGCTCTTGAGGAAGATATCTGCATTTTGCTTCTGTTAACTATTGAAATAACTCCTCTTCTGTAGTTAGGACTTTAGATGTTCTTTGTTAAATATAATATATATAATCTTTAATGCATTGCATGCAGAATAACATTTGATTTGTCCCAGCATTTGTTTCTATATAATTACTGAAGATACAGAATGCTCACTCAAACTTAGGATTGATGCAAGAAATCCCTATCTTTAATGTACTGGTATATGCAATGAGATCAATATTTTTCCATGTATTATCTACATCTCTAAAATCTCGAGTTTTCTCTATTGGGTCTGACTTATCATGATACTCTTTTATACATAATTCCAGAAAATTAGCTTTAAGAGCCCAAACAATACCCTGAATATTTCTCCTCTCATGACAGATAAGAGACACACTTTTTTACTTCTCAAAAGATAATGATATCATTTGCTTAGTCTATCCCCAGAGTTCTATCAATACAGTTTCTTTATCAGAAGCTAGACAGAATGTTTTACCTTTTTGGGGCTGGTATGTGTTGTGAATAACTGAATATTTTCTATTTGGTCGAAATTCTTTAATCTATTTAATATTAAGGTCAGTGAGATCATTATCTAGTACAATAACTCTTTCTGCCTGAGTAATTAATTCTGAGAAATTGGCAAGAGATATAGACAAACCACTTAAATGAGTTTGTGTTTACGAGATAATTGATATAATCTCATCTAATACTAGAATGTAAGAATTTGGAGGACATTTATGTGAAGCATGATCTAAAGACCTATATTTTTTATCACATTTACATTTATTAGTAATGCGATGTAAACTTTCCATCTGACATACTACCCTTTGATGCTCTCTCAGATTTATAGATCCATCGATATCACAATATGATTTGAAATTGAGCCTGATAGTAATAGTATCTGAATATATATGTCAAGTTGATACTACGAGTAAGCTTGTATTTTCTGGAATATTTAAATTTTCTATAGCATATATTTTTCCTGTTCCCCAACACGAACCTATATAAATATCATTTTCTTTAGATAAAGGTTTCACATATCTTTCTTCATATCTTTCTGATACAGTAAGAGGTTCATTGTATTTAACCCAACTTGGCATTTCTAAGAAGGGTTTTGGGAACTTAGGATCCTTTATTTTATGAGAAATAGGTGAAGAGATATTATTTTTATTTTTTTGCTGAATTTTTTCTGCGATAAATGTATTATTAAAAATTTTCTCTGATTTGTCACGATTTTGCTAGAAGCATTTTATAATGAACAAACTATCATAACGCGTGCGACTGAACCACCACTAATTCTTGTCATGTATATGTTCACAAATCAAATATTCTAGATATGCTTTCTGATTAAAGTATATAAAATACTGAGAATTTTTTTCTTTGATATCTCACCCTCCAAGATAATCAGAATATTCTTACAGAACTAGATTAGCATATTTTTTTAGTGAATCTTGACTAACGATTATTTTTTTCTGATTTATTTTTTTTACACTAAGTATATGAGGACGTACTTCTAAATTCATATTAATTAGTGGTTGAATTCAGCTGTCATTGAGATTGCATCACCCATTATCTAGTGAGAATTGAAGTATACGCTTCACATGATCTTTTTTTGCTAAATTAATTAAACAGAGACAGAAATTTCTATCAGGTAATCCTCAATCAATAAACTTTTTATATTTTTCTCTAATTAATCTGAATACTAATTCTGTAAATTCTTTTAGCTCTAGATAATCAACAAGAAGAGCCGGGGTATATAGAAGGTGATAATTGCATTTATTATCATCAGATGATATCATAATTATCAATCCTTTAATAATTTCTTCCCAACTACAATCAAGAATTTGATACAATACTCTTACAAATAAATAACAAATGCTGAAAAACATATTTTTAGTATTAACGTTTTCAGCTTCCATTTTTTCTTTAGATGCATCAATATCAATTACTGGTCTTAAAGACCATTACCCGTTAATACATTCATGAATTTTAGGTAATCTATATATCTCAAATATGTCATCTATGACAGAAAACTTTGGTGTTTATTTATCTTTTTGGTCAATTTGGATAATCAATCTATTGGTTAATTCCTCTCATGTATATGCATCAAGCAGACTAATTCCTTCTTTTGCTCCATAATTAGGTAAGAGATAATCCCATAAATATACATCCTCTAATGATTCTTTATTATTCGACATATCTCTGACAGGTGAAAAAATGATTTTATGGATTTTATTTATCACATCTTTTTGTATAAATTTATCATCGAATCTTTCTTGCCATTTAGGATATGTGGGACTCACTTGCTCTGTGGATGATGTTGTATTAGACACTTGTTCTTCTACTTTAGGGGGGGGGTTGGAGTATTGGAGACTTAATAGTAGTCTTAGTATCTGACTCATAGTCAGAACTATAATCACTACAATTTTCTGACTCACTTTCGGATATATTATCATTATAGATATCTGAGTCACTTGAATAGTCATCACTTTCCCCGCCCCTATATCAGATCACTTGTATACTTTGTTTACTCATTTTTGATATTTGATTTTTTTATTGGTATGTATCAATCTTTATTCGATTATATTATTATAAAATAGTTTGAAAAAGTTTAAATTATTTTTTTTCATGCCTGGTAAGAGATATCAAAAAAAATACATCGAGTTTTAGTGAGATAAATGAAGAGAATTGTGATCTTGATTAGTGAATACTTTGGGTATATAAGTTTGGTAATATATTATAAGAATTATGGAAGTTATATATCTGTTTCGATGTGATAATATATGTTTGAGATATTCAAGTACAGTAATATATTATAAGAAAAATAGCAAAAGAATACCCTTTTAATAATATATTTTCAGATATGTTTTTGCGTGTATGTCATCAAGGGTATTCAAGTACAGTAATATATTATAAGAAAAATGGCAGAAGAATACCCTTTCAATGATATATTTTTGGGTATATTTTCGCGTGTATATCATCAAGGGTATTCAAGTGCAGTAGTATATTATAAGAAAAATAGTAGAAGAATATGATATATATATTGATAGGTAGGTAATATTAGACTAGCAAATGATGATATATAACTGAATGCATCGTCAGTATATTTTTTTGCCCATAATAGAAATCAGTCGCAATCAGATTATTAAACTCATGATAATGTGTATATAGCAAAGTCGATAGCATGTCCTAATTGCATTAATTTTTCTATTAAATATTCTATATGATATATATTGTTAAAGAATTTTGATTGATCTATTTGGTGGTGAAGAAGTATATAACAAGGAATATGAAGTTGAAGACTGTCATGTTAACAGGAATTCTCCTATGTGTACACCATGTAAAAAGTGTGGCAAGTTAACTTTTTCTATATCAGTAATATATACAAGGTATGATGGTAAGTATCAAAATATGAAATATTATTACCAGAAAAAGCTAGAGAAAATGGCAGAAAAATCAGAAGTGCTTAAAGAAAACTCGTAATAACATGACCTGATAACATGTATATAGCATAATGACACATTACTAAATGCATCATCAGGTATATATTTTTTTATCTCTGCTGATCCATCTGTCAAACTCGTGATATATAACGAACTCGATAGCACTAGAAATGTGATGATATGAACATAAAATTGTCATCATATTTTTTATAGGTCGTGGATAACTAAATATGATGATGAACTCATGAACCTATTGTCACTAGCATATTTTTTATAGATCATGAGATATTTAAGTGTAATGATATGAACACAAATTTGTTATCATATTTTTTAATAGATTATGGATACCTAAGTGTGACGACAAACCTGTAAACCAATTATTACTTGAATGATGATACATATATGATCTCATCATCACACCTGAGTGGGAATAATCTAGACTAAGTGGAAATAACATAATTATGTTATTTTTACTACTTTCTTTATCATTGAATTATCTTCATATTTTGTATTGTTTCACTTTTAAAATTTCTTTTAAGTACTTTAATCAATCTAAAATCAAAGTCTAACTATTTTTTTTGGATAACAATAATTATAATTAGCTCAAGTCTGAGAAAGTAAGCAAGAGTAAGCAAGTAAACAAGTAAAAAAGTGAAAATAAACAAGTTAATAGCAATCAAGTGAATAATCTTATAAGTAATCAAATAAGTAATCAAGATAGTTGAATGAAAAAGAATAAGTGATCTTTAATTATCAATAAGATAAAGTGAGAATTTAATAAATCTTATTTTATTTGAATATTCTTAATATTTAAATTATTCTTGAGTTACATTATAAATAAAAAAACAAAATGCAAGTTTATTCTTAATATTTAAATTATTCTTGAGTTACATTGTAAATAAAAAAACAAAATGCAAATTTATTCTTAAAGTTCAAATTATACATTATAAATAAAAAACAAAGTGCAAGTTTATTATTCTCGAAATAAATATAAATGCACGAATTCTCGTTCTAATCTTAAAGGTAGACTCCAGGAACTCCGGAAAGACAGATTGTGATCGGAAGTCACATGATCTGTCATTTTTTTTCTGTTTCACTTTGTTACTAGCTGTGAACATGTGACGTCATACACCGCGGCTTGGGTGGTTGCGCATCGCTCGTGTCGCGTTTTTCAAATCCTTCTGCTGACAACAGTTATTCAAGTCTCCCTTATGCAGCCCGACAGCCTCAAAGACTACCTTGGAAGAAAAAGTGAGTTTGCAAAAAGTTTATTCGAAAAAAAAAATAAAATAAAAACTAATCGCTTCCAATAATTACAGTCATTGAGGCGTACTTCAACCACACGATTGGTCATATTTCCATTTTTTGCAAACAAACCGCTCAGTAATCATTAATTTGGAGCCGTTCTCAAAGATTCAGACGAAAAGGTAAGTCCATTGGCAAATGGTGCAGATCCTCTTAGAATGGTCACTACCATAACTAAAGGTGTACGGTGCGTGTGCATGTCACCCGCCTTATCTGCACCATTAACGACTGTAGACGCTCCCTGCTGGTAACTACCAAATATCGGGAGTGCATCAGAGCGTGTATTGGACTCCTGTCCTTCGCCCTCTTTCCGCAGTGCTAGCCAATTTTCTTTTTCATCCACCTTTTTACTGCCTTTATATCTATTAATTGTGTATTGTCCAGACGTATAAGAGCAGGAAGTTGGCGAAATATTGGAAGAGCTTGATTCAGGAACGGGGTATTGATGCACAAGAGGTGAGTTCTATATGCTATTGCCGTTAGTTTCACCTATTGCATACTTACGTGTATGTCATTTATGTTAGAATGCTACTTTTGACGACTACCGAAATTCAAGTCTCGTGTTGCTGAGGACAGCATGTGAGACGGAAACAACAACAATAGCTAAACGACTAAGGAGAGGAGCTAGCGATGATAATAACAACAACGCACCTTCATCAAAAAAGCTCAAGAAAACGCAAGATCATGATGACAAAGTATGTTTCTTCTTCCTCTACGCGTAAAATGAGTTGATAGTTAACCAATTTCACCAATCACTGTTCATTCTCAGGATGCTGAAAACGACGAAGTTACTACCCGAAGAATACCGTTGAGCGATCGCACAAACGTGGGTATTGTAGATCCAAAGAGTGTGTTTGTATCTCATTCCATTTCAAACACCATTCATCGATCACCTTGTCTGGCTCTTTATAGACATCGGGAAGAAGCTCCGTCGTTGTCACACAACTGCCTTCCATCACCGACATCAGAGGGTGGAGCACGGAGCAGCACATTCAGCACCTTCAGGCTAAGTTTCCCAATCAACTGAGCAAGGCTGCCTTGGACATTCTGTTGGAGAATGAAATTGAGACATCACGTTCCTGGCGCTGACAAAGGAAGATTTCATGGCACTGGCATGAAATTCGGTCCTGCGACTGTCATCGCTGGTTATGTCAAGAGTATGTGCCATTCGAGCTGACTTGTGCTTTATTTTCTTAAATTCGCCCCTTCATTTAATCATTTTGCTCATTTGTTTCTTGAAGCGTTCCAAACACCCACTCATTCGTTCGGTAACCTCTCATTAGCGTCTCAAGGTAAATATAAGTTATAGCATGTATCAATCATGCATCATGCATGCTTAATGGACCCCTATCTTTACCAAGGCATCCCATTGAAGCATCCTCGCCATGAGGAAGACATCTGCATTACGGATGAAGGCGCTGACAAGCTCACGTTCATTCCGGACGAGCGACTGGCTATTTTGTGCAAGTGATGGATGTTTCTCGGGTTGTCCTTTTGCGAAGCCCACCAGAATCGGGCAAGTCAACGCTCGGCATTCTCCTTCAGCGGTACCTTGTCAGGCGGGGTCGAAATGCCATTTATCTCTCGATGCTCAACCTACATGGCGATTGTAAATGGGCCTTACAGAGCGATGCCAAGTTTGACATTTTCTGGAAGGAAGAGACAGGAAGGACTCTGGGAGGATTTGTCAGAGGCAGTACCCAGATGGACATTATAATTGACGAAGCTCAAATTCTCTATGGCAATGTGATACCTTACTTTTGGTTCATTCTGAAAGACTTGAAGAGCGGAACTCGCAATCCTCACCTACGCGTGTTACTTATAGGCATGTACGGTGAGGAAGACTGCCCTGAAGATCGCTTGAGCAATCTGTATGGTGATTTTGTTCCGGGTATGGGATGACGCTCTCTTTGGAAAATCTGCGCCTGCCACGAGCTGAGTTTGACGAATTTGCAGTGAATTCGTTCATCACATGCGTGATATTTTCATCTATGCTGATTTAGATTTCAAGATTCCAGAGGAGGTGTGGATGCCATTTACAAAGCAACTGCTAGACATGTTGGCCTTGTCAGGCACAGCTTTCGGATCCTGGCGGACGAATTTCGGAGTGGTACGCGCAGTGCCACGGCTATGCTTCGTTTCTTAGTTTCTCGTGATTTTCGAAGACCCCTCGGACTCGTACGCTCGTTTCGTTGGCTGAGAAAGTGGGATCTGTCAACAATAAAAGAGCAGTTTTTGTGCGATGCGTTGCTTCGCCTCGACGATGACTATACCTTTCCCCGCATTGAGGGGATAATCAGGAAGTTCAAGCGCTGCGGTTTGGTCGTCGATGCCAGAGGCTGTCGACTACAGTTTGCAGCCCCATTGGTGCGGATCTTTTTGATGGATCGCTTGTTTACTGCCTCACTGCACCTCAGGGATCATTTGGTCAAAGCGAACGATTTCGATGCGTTTCTACGAATGAGCATCGAGCGTATGCGGCCCTCCGCATTGAGAAGATCTTTGAGCATAGCAATCACGAAAATGCACGGCTTTATGAGAGGGCATGGCAGCAAGAATGGTACAGGGCAGCGACAACAGCTATACCAAAAGATAGGGAAATTAGTCCTGATGTTGGCCCCATTTTTGGCGCAACAGGATTCATAGACTTTTACATCAGTGGCCTTGAATGGGATGTGGAGTTTTTGCGTGAAGGCGATGATATGAAGGGGCATGCCCGCCGATTTTCTCGTGGAGGTTCATACGCAAAAATACCCCTAAAACACTGGGCCATCGTCGACTTTCGCCATCAATTGAGGCGACTCAGCTGTGAACAACCCAATTTTTGGCATGTGCTGTGTGCTGATGACTACACCAATGTCAACATCAGGCGTCTGAACAAGCAGCCCCTTCCGACCATTTTGCGTGGTGACGATTTGCCCTAGAGAGGGGATCGGAAGTTGATTTTGGAGGGTTTTGTTTTCTTCCTATTTCCACTTTTTTTTCTCCCTAGTTTCTTGAACTAATTCTGCCAACGTCCATTTGAGAGATTTTTCTGACCTTTCCTCTTGATAAACTTCATAAGTTATCTTTTCTTGGTCCAGATGTTCTTAGTAGTCTGGGTATTTTTGCAATTTACATACCGGTATACAAATACCTCTTTGTATAATGCATAATGAGTATAAAATATTATATATTAAAATTTAACAAAATCAGACAAAGTGAGCATAAAATGTATATGTATGGTAAATATCAATGAATATGAGAAAGTGCTGCAATTTTTAGAAGCAGGCTGTGGCTGTGATTGCTCTGCTAAATTATCTAAAGAAGAATTTGCTGAATTACGTGAAGTCTTTCAAGCTCTGTCCAAATCAGAACAAGATATATTTCTAATGATATAAATTAAAGTAATGGATGATGAATCAGTAAGTACCAGTAGATATCTGAAAAAGAAAATCAGATCAAATAAAAAAACATTTTATTACTGAAATCACAAGACATTACTTTGCCAAAACATCTATTTCAATATGTTAGGTATTGACAAAACTTTGAAAATATCAGAAATTATTTAGTTAATAATAATTTGATTTCAAGACTTCATAACAACATCAAAAGAATATCTCAATAAAAAATCAAAATAGTAATCAATCATAATATTGTTAATGTTATGAAAAACTTTTTAAAAAACTATGTTGAAATACATGATTTATCAAGTTCAAGAAGAAGTATTAATAGAATAACTCAATCATTTATTTATTTATCAACAGAAACAATTTATAAATCTGTTTACTAAAATTTTTTGACAGGTTTAGAAGAAAATAATAACTTAAAGTTATTGAAATATAATGTATTCAGAAGACTATAACATTAATTAACATTAGAAATTCAAATTATAAATTCAAAAACTGACTCGTGTAATACTTGTCAAAATTTTCATAATAATTTACAATATAATACTTATTAGAAAGAAAAAGTTAGAGATATATTAAAGAAATTTAAACAATATCTTGTTAAAGTCAAACTAGAAAGAAACTAATATAATAAAAATATCAAATTAGCAAAAGTACAAAGAAAACTAGTTGATCAAAATTATGTATAAAGTAAAATTCAATATTATAGTATTAATGTTACTGCTTATTATAGTTATGATTAAGCTCAAAATGTTTATATATCACATTCAGATCAATAAATTAATAAAATTAACTATCTTAATTATTGCAAGATATATTTATTTGATATTTAAAATAAAATAATTGAGAGTAACTTAATTATATTCTGAATAAAAATAAAATAATTGATAAAAATTCTTATAATATACTTAATTTAATTTTTGATAATATTAAAAAATTAAATAAAGATGAAAAATATTTGAAAATTGCTTGTAATAATACTGATAATTAGAATAAAATAATATCACTATTTAATTTTATTTGTACTTGATAATTTGTAATTATTATAAAAGTATTAAATTAAACTTTATGATTTCTGGACATACTAAATTCAAATATAATAATAATTTTGACTTGATTAAAAAATTTTATAGAAAAATTACTATAGCTTATATAAATCATATCTCAATATTATAAAAATAATAAAGAGTTTTAATATTTAAATCTTAATTTTATTTTGAATATTTTTTTAAAAAATTAAATAGTTTGCAAAAGTATCAATACTTTCTTTTTAAAGTAATTAATTCTAATATCATCAAAACTCAAACAGTTGTTAATAAATCTTTTATTAAAATTTAATTTATTTAAAACTAAAAAAAAATAGATATTTCTCAAGTCATAAAACTTTTTTTTATTCTAGTATTGATATTATTTTCTTTGAATTATAAAAGATAAGAATATCTTTATCAAAATATTTAATCATTTATTAGAAATAAATTTAAAAATATTACTTGTCTAAAATCAGTTTAAATAAATATTATCTATTTTTTAAAAACTAAACTAGTAGTAGTAAGTAAAGTTAAAAAATTAGAATTATTATTATTAATTAATTTTAAATATTCTTTTCTAAATACCTGTTCTATTCCTTATCATACTCAATTAATCTTTAATAATGATTTTATTATAAAGATCTAATATAATCAAAAATTATTATTTTAATTATTATATTTACTTTAATAGATAAATTATTTTATCAATAAAATTATTTGCAAGTTAAATATTTTTTAACTTATACTGATTGATAATCTTTTTAATAATTTTTATCATTATATTTTTAAAGTTTTCTCTTAATTAAAGTCTTTTATTAGCTTGATAAATAATTTCTAATTACTTTTTATTAAGATTTAATAACTCTTTTTTTATTTTAATTTGATTTTCTCACAAGTTTTTAAAATTACTATTTTCTTTTTTAAAATCTTAATAGTTTATGTTATTATATCTTGACTTTAAATTTTTTAATTTTTCTAATTCTTTATAAATATTAATAATATTATTTAATTCTTACTTTAATTTAAAAAAATCATTTAGAAAAATAATTTGTGAAAGATAATTTCAATTTTTATCTATTTCTTCAAGAATAAACTTTTTTAATTAGAAAATTGATTTAATAGGTAATTTATTTTGATGATATTACTGAAAATAAATTAATATTTCAGAAGATTTTTACTTTTTCTTTTCAAATTTTTTATTTAATTCTCAAATAGTTTCTTAACTTTTTTCTTGACTATTTTTTAAATATAATTATTTTTCATTTATATTATTTATAATAATTATTTTTGCAATATTCAATTAAATTAATAATTTTAATTTTTTAGTTTTCTTTTTTTTTCTTAATTCTTAATTAGAATTATTTATTACTTTTTAAAAACTTTTTTCTCTTGATAAATTTTATAAGTAATTTTTTCTTTATTTAAATATTCTTGAATAGTTTTAGTATTATTTATTTTAAAAATATAGAAAGCAATTTTTTTATCTTGTTCTTTTTTTAAAATACTTCTGATAGTACTATAATTCTTGAATTTTATAATAAATTTGATATAAACTAGTTTTATATTTATATTTTATATAAGAATAATTCTATATATTATTACTATTTTAAGTTTATATATATATAAATATTTTAAAATAGTAAAAATAATTATATTTATAATAATTATTTATTTTTATAACTTTAAAAGATCATATAATCAATTATCTTCTCAATAAGATAATATATATAATTTTTTTTCTAACAAAATATAATTATCTTTTTAATAAGATAATATATATATGATTTTACTTCTGACAAAATACTCTTTTAATAGAGCAAGAAGAAAATAAAAATAAAATATATGATAAAATATATATTTATTAAAGAAAAATACTAATTAATTATTCTTAACTTAATAGTTAATTACTTTTATCAAACTTAATTATTCTTCTTGATTACTTTTTGACTTTTTATATATAATATTTTTTTGTTATGCTAATTACAAATTATTTTTAACATAATATTTCACTTAATTTACTTAAAAACAAGTAGAATTTCAAAAGAATAATTATAAAAAATATTAAATACATGATAATTAAGAATTGAAATTAGTAAAATATTAAGATATTCAAAGCTAAAGTAAAAAAAGAAAGAAAAATTAATAATAATTAAAAAATTATTAATTTAATAAAATTATAAATTAAGTATGATACATATAGTTAAATTAATAAAAAAATAAGACTAAATATAGATAATAATATAAATTAAAAATAAAATTAATAATAAATAAAAATTAATTAATATAAATTTCTTGTTCATCCAATTTAATAATAATTAATAATTACTATATTACATACTACAGCTATATTATATACTATATTATATTTACTATATCATATAAATAGATAATTAGTTACAAAACTTTTAGCTTTAAGAAATTTACTTTATAAATCTTTTTTAATTATTATTAATAATAATTATTAATTTCAAATTATTAAACTTAATATATAACTTTAAATTATCATCATTATATAGATTTTTCAAGATTTTTTCATCTTTATTTCTAAGTTTATAGATTTTTTTATTATAAGCTTTATAAATATAGAATAATTCTTTTTATTTTTTATCAAATTTATTATAATAATAATATTAAGTTTCTATTTATTTTACTAATACTTACTATTTTATCTGAAAAACTGTTAACTTTTATTTCTTGTCATACTATTCTTTTTATTTTAACTATTTTTCTTGAATATTACTAAAAGCTAGTTTTTATATAGTCTCTAAATTATTAATTAGTTTATATTGTTGTGATATGAACTTTTAGTAGAATATTAGTTAATTTTATTATTGGTCGCTTCATATCACAATATGATTGGATGAATAATTCTTTATATCTTATTGAACATTAGCTTTAGAGAATATTATTTGTAGATATTTTTAGAAGGTTTCATAAACACAATGATCATGGTAAAATTATTATAGTAAAATTAGCAAAATTGTCATAGCAAAACTAACAATGCTATCATAACAAAACCAACATTATGATACTAATAAAAGTAACATTTAGATTATAGCAAAACTAACATAAGTATCATAATAAAAGTATCATTTATATAACCTCTAAAATATATAAAAGTGATGTATCTTAGCTAGTGAATTTGGATAGTTAGTTAAGTAAGACAGTTAATAAGTTAAATAGATAGATAGTTAGTTAATAAGTTAGATATTTAGTTATTTAGTTTAGTTTGAGTTCTATGAGTTTAGTTCTTAACTCATATTTTAGTAGATTATAGTTTTAAAGAGAATTCTAAGAAATCTTTCTTGTAGAATAGATCTTGATTAAAATCTATTAATTCATCTTGTTAATAAACTATTTATTACATCTGTTTTGAAATTATATTTTGGAATTGGACTACATTCTAGCTAATTATAACAAGAATACTATCATTACCTACCTTTAGAATAACCTTAACATAATAATAGAAATATTCTTGTTAATAAATCTTTTAAAGACTCTTCCAAA